CCCTCACATGGCTGTTGCTGAAGAGTTGCTGAAGTCTGCTGAGGTCTGAAGTTATATGCCTGTTTGTCACACACCATGCCAGATTAAACCTGCTGCATGTAGGGCTGGCTACAGCCATTGTCTGCTGAATCCACAAGGGTCTTACAGCACTGTACTGGGAGAAAGGTTACAGTTTGGTTTGCAGGCAGGAATGCTCTTTTCACCTATTGCTTTCCAAGTGAGACTTTAATGGCCAATCCCGCTCTGTCCTAGAGATGGGTTTCAAATGATCTCATCCTAGTGATTTTCCAAGCCCAGGTTTTATTAAAATGTATTTACTGCAGTGTTTATATCCTGCATCTGAGACTGAAGAAAGTTTGGTAAGTCTCAGGTACTTTAGAAAAACATATGTTAAGATGTCACCAAACTACCTTCCTGGAGCTCTGGTGATGTTTTTATTAAAGGTGATATAAGCTTTGAAATCTAGTGCTTTTCTGATAAAAGCTGATTCTTTCATCAGACTTTGAACAGTGCATTCTGCTGGGTCAGTGCTTGCAAGTCACCAAAAATTGGATTCACAAAGATAAATTATCTGAGAAAGAAAAATTGTTTATTTTGCAGTGACTGCAGCTCTTTAGATATGTTGCATGTACATATTTGATGAGTAGCCTCACTTCTAGAAATACTTCCTTCTCAACTTAGAAAAGTGTCAGTGCTTCAACACTGTTCGGTGTTATAACATTTTTTGGGTGCTTGATGTGCAATTCTCATGTATCATCTAATTTCTTCTGAGTTCTAAGCTGTTGCTATTTACTCCAGCAGAGTACAGTTTTCAGACAGTGAGAATCTTTGTCATCATGTGTCTGAACATTGCTGGTAGTAACACGGATGATCTGGGCTGGCAAAGAAAGGGAATGGTAGTTGCTCCTTCTTATTCTCAAGAGAATCAGGAAGGCCACTTAACTTTCTGTACTAATAATACAAACTTAGCAAATAATTTTTTCTCCTAAAATTGGCAAGACAGATGCAGCTAGTTTTCTTGATGTTCTAAGGGAGAGAATGGCAAAAAGTGCTCCCACCTGTAGAGCACCTGTCCTGTACAGCAGACTTTGAAACAATGCCGTGTGAAGCACATTGATAACAGGTTATAAGGAATTCTAGATATTAGAGGTAAGATGTTTTCTTTCCTTTTCCTTTCAGAACTTGAAATTGTCTTTGTATGAATGAAAAGCAGTCAAGAAGGACCTAAACTTTATTTGTATTTCCTTTCATTTTTCTACTTGAATTCACATCAGTTCTTTCACCTTCCCTAATACTCTTTTTTCTTCTCCTACCAGAATCTATTTTATTCACAAGCAGAAAACAGCAGAGCAACAGTGCAGGAAAGAATGAACCCTGGGCTCACCTTCAGTAAAACACAGGGTCATCAGAGAACTTTTGGATGAATTTCCCTTTATTTTGGCCAGTAGTGTGCATACAAGAGAGTGAAAAGATGGGGAACCACACAGCTCAGGATATGCAGATTGAAGGAAGTAAAGGAACTGAGCTGACTTGGAGAAAAACTAGCAAAGAAAAAGCCTTAGGAGCACATCCTGACCTGTCTGCATGCATGTCATGTTTGCATGCAAGCATAGATATGCCTGTGTCTGGATTTAAAGCTTACTAGTCATGAGACTTAGATTATTTTTTTTAATAGTTGTTTTCCAGTCTAATAGATATGTCTCTACAATTTAAAATAATAGCAACAGATTCACATACATGCATGAGAAATGAATGAGCATGTAGGTACTTCAATACATGAAGCTCTTACACCTGCCTCCTCTTCGCAAAGGGTCTTTTGGAGATGTAGATTTTGGGAATTTACCATCTCCTATCACGTAAGTGTGATCCCCTGCAAGACTGGGGATACTTCCAGCCCTGAGTCCATAATGGCTATTCTGATTGCAGATATACAAATGATATCATATTGCATGGTTTTGTACAAAAAGCTGGAAGGAAGTGTTGCAGTTTCTTAAGGTGATAACATAGTACACTGCTGTGGCTCATTAAATATGCAGTAGCAGTAGTTTTAATTTATATTTGGAAGCATTTTCCCCAAAAACTCTAAATAAGTTTGGAGACCCAAACCACAATGGAATTCTAAAGTAATCCCTAAAGTACTGTGGAGTTGCTATGGAAACATGCAGGTGCTCAGACCAACATTGTAGACTAAAAAGATAATTTATAATTATCTGGAAAAAAATAAATTATGCTTTTCCACATGACTACTGTATGTATTGTCACAACTAGAGATGAAAAAAGGGCACAGTTATACAACAGTTGTTACTCTTTGGGGTTTCTGCCCCACACCACTTTCCAGGTCCTTGTGCTAAAAGGAGTAAAAATATTTTTAAAAACCATAGGCTTAATAACCATATGCTAGATTTGTGCTACTTCTAGGGAGAATTAGAGTCTCCTGGGCACAGAGGTACTTTTATTGTGTCTTTTGAAATAAATTCAATCAAATTGAATTTATTGTTGATGGCAAGTATTTAGAAAGGCCATATGTGTGCAGTCACAGTCCAGATCTTGTGTGCAGGGCATTGGGGCAGCTCTTTCTGCAGACCCATCAGTATCCTAGCTAAGTGTGATATGCATTTCTAGGCACATATTCCCAAACTATGATTTTTCCCTAAATCTGAGCCAGAGGTATCCAATTAGCAAAGTGGAGATGTTCTGTTCCATTCCCATAATTTTTTAAAACCTTTTATCTCCTACTCAGGTTTTGAACAGCAACACTGGCTGGAAGAATTTAAGATTTCCATTTGACTAATGGCTTTTAACTTAAATTTATTCTTTCTTCCTCATTTTTTAAATTAGCTGCAAATTTGAGGGGGGAACATTTGCAAAAGCTTAGTTTTACATTTTTTACTGAGGGCTGTGAGGCATGCAGGGAGGATGTTCCACAGTAAAGTCGGCTCTTCAGTGTTGAGGCTTTAGTCCTAGCTCTGCAGTCCTGTGTTCAGGAGGTTATTGCTGAGATTTTAAGTGAAGAACAGCAATGTGTTAAAATACTACACAAGCTTTCAGGGGAAACTGAGACCATGGAATAATAATAGCAAGACACGGGGAAGGCTTCGATTTGCAAAGTGGTTTATTGTGGCTTCATTCATTTCAAGCCTAATCCTTAGTTATTCTAGTTTGCCTGGAAAATCTTCCCTCTGTGTGACTGTTTTTCTGTATAATTTCTACTTCTATTCCAGTTGTGTCTACAGGCCCTTTTCCTAGTCTGGCACACAGCACTGAATGGTGAGCTGTGCTGTTCCCAAAGTGGGATACAATCATAGCCTGAAAAATAATTTAAAAAAAAAAATCAAAAAGCCAAACCCAACACAACAAAATGGATTGAGAGGAAGAAGGGAAAAATGAGCCTCCCTTGAGAAATCCCTGTGGCCCCAAGGTAAGCCAGCAGTACAGCTCATGATGGAGACTGATTCTCTTTACAAACTTATACTGCCTATTAAGAGGACAATGGTTATCATCACATATGCATGTTTCCATACTTTATCTTATATGGAGATACAATCTAAGTTTGTTAACTTCAGTCTAGATAGGACTAAATTGGAGTTGTAAATACACTCTCCTCTTTCCAGGAAGACACAGTGTACTCCCTGGGTGGTTCACTGCATGAGTGTGTTGAGTCCTACCTCTGCGATGTAATAACAGTATTTCAGCCCAGCTTCTCTGTGCTCTGAAAACCTGTTGTAGCATGTAATTTTTCTGTAGGAGGTGGTTGTGTTCTCCATGAAAAGGGGTTACCTTACTCATTTTATGCCTTTAGCACTGTTCTCTATGGGTAAATATAATCTCCCTGGAGTCCTGTAAATTATTGAAGTGAAAAAGTGCAGACTCAGAAGATGAAAATTTCAGCTAGGTTTGGTGAATAAATTTGCGTGTTAAGTCAGGAGCTTTCCTTGTTTTCTGTTTTTTCTCTTAATAGTATCTTCTTTCTTGTCTATGCTGCACTGACAGAAACTGTTTAGTGAGGCTGCTTGTTTTCCTGTCCTTTTTTGCTTATTTCCAAGTAGGATAGACACCCACCCAAAGGTCCCCTTTGCAATTCTCTATTTAAGGGGACAGCTCCTTCTACAGTGTAATATAAGAAAATTATATGAGAACTTTTCCACAACAAAAATGAAATGAGGAAAAATCAACCAATTACAATTCTATTTTTCTGATGTAACTACTAAAGATATCTGTACATCATGTCTAAACACAGGAAAATTCTCCCATTGCTTTTTTCCCCCTGTAAAATTCACCTTGAGTAAAATTCACCTTCAGTTTTCCTGTTCCAGCATATCTCAGGAGGTGCTCCTTTGAGAAGGACTAAAGTATCCTACTTGCATAACTAAAGTGTAAAATAGCAACAGAGAGCATGGCACCTCGATATAGGGGCGGGCAAACTTTTAGTACTCGAACCTTTCTCGTTACGTAATTTTTTGCTGATAAATCGATACACGAGGGTGAACAACTAATACAAAACACCTTATGAAGGTGTCTATAAGCCATCTTCAGGCTTACAGCATACATAAATTAAAAAAAAAAAAAAAGTTAAATGGCACTGTGTGAGGTTTAGACGTTTTCTTCTAACCTACTAAAGCGCGAGGCGTTTTACTCCGGGAGGTGACAATGGCATCGCTGCCCGTGACTGGGGGAGGCGAGGGCCACAGCACAGCCCAGGACAGCCGGACACCGCTCGCTTGGCTGCTGGTTGTCGCCTCCCGCCCCCGCCCAGCACCCCGGCTCGCGCGGGATCCAGGAGCGTGTTCCCGGTGGGAGGTGCCGGAGCACGGGCGGGGGTTGCAGCCCCGCTGTCCCGATCCCGCCCGGGGGGAAGGTTCCAGCGGGAGGCGATCCGGTGCTCGGCAGCCGCCTCGCCTGCCCGTGCTGCTCCGGGCCATGGCGGCGGGGGCGGGCCGGGGCGGGGCGGAGCTCTGACGGGCAGCCCGGCCCGGGGAGCCGCGGTAAACAGGAGCCGGGTGAGAGCCGGGAGTGACCGGCCTCGCAGGAGCCTCCCAGCGCCACGGCCAGCCGCCTCCCGGCCCCGGGCATGGGCAGCAGCAGCCGCCGCAGCCGGAGGAGGAGCCGCCGGCCCGGGCCCTGTGCGGGGCACCAAGGTAGGCTCGGCCGCCGCCCTGGCCGTGGGCAGCCGCCGCTTCCTCCGCGGCGGCCGAGCCGGGTCCGCCGCCCCTCCGGCGCGGGGAGGCCGGGCCCGGCGGGGCGCAGGGCAGGCGGGTGCGGGGCCGCTTGCCCCGGGGCCGCCGCTCACCCCGGCCCCGCCGAGCCCGGCAGGTGAGGCGGCTCCTGGAGGCGGTGGGTGCCGGCGGCGAGCAACAGGCGGCCCGGCCCGGCCCGGCCCGGCCGCCCCCGGGACCCGCCGCCGTGTCACGGGGTGTCGGCCGGGGCAGCGGGACCCCCGCGGGGTCACCGCCAGCCCGAGGGGCGGGGGTGCGGCGGAACCTCCCGGCATTGACCGGGGCGGAGGCTCCGCTCGGAGAGTTCAGGGCTGTTCCTCTGTCGGAGCCGAGGAAGCGGCACCTAATTCCCTGGTAAGAGGCTTTCCCACCTCCGCCGTCTTTGTCTGCTCAGGCTCAGCGCGTCTGCTGCTGCTGGCACTGGGAGCATTAGCGTTGCTGGGGGGAAAGGGGGAGCGGATCAGCTGTGGGAAAGGGACTGTGCTTGCACCAGGTGTCTGGTTCGGAGGAGGACGTGGGTTCGCATTGGGTTTGCGACGTGTAACAGAGATACGCCAGTGAGAAAACAGTACAACAAGATGTGCTGGTCACAACGTGTTCTTAAGGAATCGTGAAGTTTCACGGCAGACCGAAAAATAGAATTCCTGGAACTAGTTGGCAAGCAGAGTAATGCTCGAGTTGTTCCAAACTGTAACACTTTAACTTTTCTTTATTTTAGTATGCTAAAAGTGCAAGCAAGGCGAGAATTACAGTGTGCTAATGTGAGATCAGTTAGTCTCAAACTGCAGTGCAAGAGGGCACGCAGCTCGGGCTCTGCTGTTGGAAAATGATTGGTATACTTCTGAACGTAGCAAATTTGTGAAGTAACCCAGCACCATAGGCAGAGCTTGAGTGGAGATGGAAAGAGATCTTGGAAGGAAGATAGGAGTGGAAGAGGAAAGAGCTGTCTGACAGTAACTCTTCAGCTGGAGCAGTAGGAATCTTTATGAATTTGTGCTTCTGAAATTAGTTTGGAGTAGTATCAGCTGAGGCTGAGATTAATTCAGATTGATCCCCAGTCAAAAATTCTCAGAGAAAAATTTTCTTTGAAAAACATTTATTAGAATGTTTTATCTGAAACCTGTCAACACTGGTGAATTTCCACCGATCCAGAGTCTCTGGACCAGGGTTGCTGGAAACATCAATGTTCCTGTCTCAAGGGTGTGCCCCAGCACCCAGAATAATACCTGCTAAGGTATTATTGCTCAGCTGTAGCCCAAACCATTTGGTGCCAGACTCCTCTGAGCAACTCTGTAGCTGCTCAGAGAAAGTGAGACATTCCCCAGGATTTGATTCTGCTGTGGTTGCTGAAAATGGTAGGACAGCTGAAATCTAAACAACTGCCCTTTTGCTAGGAACTTTGTGTGACTTAGGTTACAGTCTAATGTGAACTTAAAAAATTAACGATTCACTGAATATTTGTTGCTATGGTGTTGGGTTGGTTTTGGTTTTGTGGGTTTTTTTAACTTGGCTTTTAACTAGCCCCAGCCAACAGTTTTGCTTATAGAGGTAAACTAGTTGAAAAGAAGCTGTTTTCTGTTTTGGGGTGTCACACTGGATGAAAGGCTGCAGCCCTTTTTATACCTCAGTGTGTGGATGTGTGGGCAGAAATGTGGAGGTGTCCAGATGAGGCAGTTATGATTCCAGTGCCAGAAAATACACCTGTTCCCTGGCTGCTTTTGCGCAGTCTGAAGTGTTGTAAGGCTGGATTAATCCAGCATGCTGGATGAACTTTCTATATTTTCAAGATTAGAGGGGTTTTTTAAATTTTTGTTATTTTAGGTTTAACACTTTGGACGAGCAACTCTCCTGTGTTCAAGGGTGGAAGGACTCAATCTTCCCAGCTGCTGAGGCTGTCGCAGGTACTTTGGGCAACATAGCAAAGTGTCTTCTCTGCCAGTCTGATTTCCTTACTGCTATTCCAAACACTGACATTAGTGGGGAAGGCAGGCCACTGCAGGAGTGTGACAGCTTCCAGTAGCAAGGCTCCTCAAGGAAGGAGTTGTAGATGGTTCTTACAAGCCCTGAATCGATCCTACTGCCTAAGAAAAAAGTAGTCTGCTGCTGTGGGTCTTTTTTGCCCTATACTTCTGTTAGTCCTGGTGTGACTGACTGGTACCTAGCTTCAGAAGTAGTGAATAACAAAATAATAGTGTGCATGGCTATCTGCTAGGAAAAAGGAAAACAGGAATTAAGTGTATTCTTTCTTTTTTCTAATTTTTTTTTTATTCTGCCCTTCCTCCTTCCTCCAAAAATATAAGGAACTCTTGGTCCTGTAAAAGTGGCTAGCATTCTGTAAGAGCCTGTAGCAGGACTACAAAAAATGAACAGGCTTTGAAGGAAGAAGCTTGCAGGACCCCTGAGCTACCTTGTGCTTGGATTGTGTCTGCATATGGCAGACAAATAGTGAATAGCAAAGCAGTAGAAGGTCATAAGGAATAGAAAACTTCAAGTCTGGGGAAAAACTTCACTTCTAGGCCATAGGTATTAGAGGAGAAATCTTCTTGGGGAACAAGTTATCCAGTTCCTGACTGTTCCAGTTCTTTCTTCGGAGCATCTAGTGTTAGCTGCTGCAGGAACAGAGTGAACCGTGTAAACCACACATCTTATTCACTGTATTAATTTCCACAGTGAGACAGAACTCATGCAGGGTTTACTGGAACTTCTGTTTTGCTGACTTATGGATTGACTGCAAAGATCTGGCGGCAGCTTGCTTTAGCATAGCAGAGCTGGCATTAAACTTGCTGGATGGGCTTTGTTCACTGTGGATTTTCACAGCTCCAGGTTGTTGAAATACTCATCACTGAGTTAGGGTCAGTTTTACTAATTCTGTTGTCTGGCTTTTACTGAAAACACCACTTGACAAAAGAACTCCTAATTTCTAAAATTATCTTTCACTGCTTCCCACAATATTTTTGTGGATCTTTTAAGGAGGTACCCACAGTCATGTGAAGCATTGGAAAACCAAATAACTGATTACGTTGTGTTTACTGATTCCAGGGTAGGTAAATGGACAAGAGCCCTTGGAAGCCTGGTCTTTTTGCAATTAAAGGTGTAGCTGTGTTATTCTTAAATTTAACTCCTCACTGGACAGACAGATAGTTCACAAACAGCAAGAGATATCTCAGCCATCAGCAGTTTCTAGTGCTTGCAATTTCTTTTCCCCAGGGACCCTGGAAGAAGGCTGGCCCTTATTATGTGCCCAGCTGGTTATCATGTTTGGGCTGGTCTAGATCAAAGATATATGTAAATGACTGTTAAACTTCTCTGTCTTTAAAGTGAGTGCCTCTCTGGAGCTCAGATTGGGTACCTGCAGGCAAGTAGGGGAGCTTGGTAGCAAATCTTGACTTTAATCAGAGACCTGGCAGAATGTCATGGTGGATTGAAGTTGACTGAAAACAGTGTTGGAAATTTTTGAGGAAATACACATATATTACCTGTATGTGTAATAGGTGAAAAATACTAAAAGGTTCTAGAAATTGAGGCTGAGATTTTCCGAGGTTAGATGAAATAAAGAGAACTAGTAGATGAGTACTTTATGCCTGGAAACTCATTTAAAGATCCCAGTTGTAAACCTTGCAAAATATATAGCCAATTACATAGAATATAAATATTGTATATTTTGGGGGTAGGTAAATCCTATATATTAGGTATGCTTTGATATCTGCCTCTTGAAGTTTTTGTGTGCCTTTCAGAAGGCATCAGGACAGAATACATGTCACCAGTCCAATCTGCAGGTGAGGCTGGTTATTAACAACTGCACCAGAGTTTCTCCTTGGGAAAACAGGCTTTGGATTTAAGAATGTCATTCAACAGGTCACTGAAAACACTGAGGCTGAGTTTGTCTGCCAGTTTGGTCATGGCTTCAGTAATATCATGTGTTTACACACCATCCAGGATAAGAGGTTCATTACAGGGAATAAAAATGTTCTCAGCTGTTCTTCCCTGAGCAGGTACCTTGACTTCTGTCATGTCCTGGACACAGAATGAGAAACATTCTCTTTGAATCAAAGGGTCAGTTGGATGATGCAGAGGGAAAGGAAAGAAAGATAGAAGGATCTAGGGTGACAAACCAAAAAAGAAGAAAAAAAGAATAGAGATCAAGGTTACACACAAAGTTGCTAATTTTTAAAAAAGTATACAATTTCTTTTTGCCTCCCTTCCTCTCAAATGTACTTTATTTTTAAAAAGCCTCTTAGTTCCTCTTTAGTGTGTGCACTGAGCCTGCAAGGAAGAGTATCTGTAGGAAAAAAACCCTCAGTGTTTCTTAATAAACAGCTAGGCTTCCCCTGGGTCTGATCTGCTGATTCTAATGACCAGAATAATTTGTCACTCAGACTGACTTACTGCTAATAACGCTGTGCCATTGTGCAGCTTGAGGAGGGGAGATGTGCCTCCACTCTTGTTGCCAGAGCTGGGGTTTGAGTTCTGCTTTATTGTTACACAAGACTTTGCATGGGGACAGCAGTGAGGGTCCACACATTGCCATGACTCCTGGTACCGAAGGTTACTGCCTTCTAGACATGGTATTTGGGTGATTTTGCCTGTAGAGGATCATTTGAGTAGCTTTAGCTGAAAAGGAAGCAGCAGACCGGCTGTGTACAACCTGCCCTAGAGCACCGGTTAAATACTGAGGAAGTATTCTGTCAAACCTTGCTACCATAAGCACTGCTCTTGGCAGCAAGGCTGAACCTGGCCTTTACTTTCCTGGGAGAGGGAAGGTGGTGTCATGGGGGTTATTAGTGGAAGCTCCTCCCCTCCCAATTACTGCAGGATTTACAAAAAGGGTGCCTTTGTTTAATGGCATTTGTAATGGTCTCTGAAAGCATTTCTTTGTGGAAGAGCCTCCTTCAAAACCAGCAAGAAAAAGTCTTCTCTGCCTA